AAATTGAGATCATCTACTTGTAGTGCCTACACAGTAGGCACAATAGGTGCATTTTAGACTTTTAAAAGGCTAGATATTTATAAGGTATATGCTCTATATATTACAATTTTACATACCGTAAAACCTTACAAGTTTGCCCAACTAATCTGAGCTTGCCCAGTAAGGAACTTTTTACAAAAATTAAAAAAAATCTGGCAACATTTTAGTTGCGTTTATTAATTAATCTATGGAACAAATTTGAATACGTCTCCGGCAACACTAAGTAACTGTTTTTTTCTAACGTCATTTCACTAGGCTGTTAAACTGTGTCGAAGTTGGTGGTGTATTTTGCGGGCCAAAAGTCGTGCAAAAAACTTTCTTCAAAACTCGATTTGTAATTACAGCAGGTAAGTAAGTTTTTTTTCACTGTTAGTTTGTAATAAACACACAAGAAATATCAAATATCCAACGCGAAATCTCTCTTAAAGTTGAAAATATCACGGTGGGCAATGTCAAATTGGTTATTCTAAAGCAGTCATTACGACTTTGCCCACCAAAATATTACCGTTAGGGTTGTCACCTCAATGTTGACAGAATGAGAGGATATACAACGCATTACAATAATTAATACATATGATAAAAAAGTAAACGTTGTTGTAAAAAGTATTGAATGTACCTATTTGCAAAATAATTAGGTTGATTAAGTTTAAGATCTTTTTTTGTATGTAAATTTTCGTTTAAATGTCGCTAAATGGTCTGAGAAACATCTTAAATAAGTATCATTATGCTATCTCTTAAAGGTACTAAGCAGTGTACCAAGTCTCTCATTATGTTAACTGTATTTATTTTTGATGCTATTAAACCAAAAAAAATTGTTTTTTTTTTCTCATACATATACAGTTTTTTTTTAGGAGTGCAATAACCTTATTTTGGTTAAGCGTATTTGTTAATTATACTGAGGTCTCTTTTTCAGGATGAATAATACTAAGCCAAAAAACACAAGAAAAAGAAATAGAAAATTAGGATCGAGAGCATATAGAAATTATTCAGAGAAAATGTTAGAATTGGCGGTTGACATGGTAGAAAATAGCAGGATGTCAAGTCGGGAGGCAAAAAAGAGGTTCGGAATCCCTCGACGGACGATATTGAACAAAGTTAAAAAAATTCACTTGAAACCAGCTGGAGGACAAAAGAAACTCACTGAAGAAGAGGAAGAAAAACTGGCAAATGTGTTGTTAGCTTCAGCAGATTACGGCAGTCCCATGTCGAAAATGGATATAAAAATGTTGGTCTATAAATACGTAGAAAAAAATTCACGGACTGATTTGTTCGATGGCAAATTACCCAGTGATACTTGGGTGGAAGGATTTTTAAACAGACATCGTTCGATATTGACCATTAGAACAACCCAAAATATAAAAAAAGTACGGGCCGAGAAAGGATTGGAAGAAATGGAGCAATTTTATACCAATTTACGTGAAACGCTAAATGGTGTACCACCGATGAATATACTGAACTACGACGAGACTAACTTGTCCGACAATCCAGGTACTTCAAAATGTGTATTCAGAAGGGGCGTCAAACATCCTGAAAGGATTCTAAATAACACAAAAAGTTGCATTTCTATTATGTTTACTGCAAGTGCAGCTGGGACATGTCTACCAATATATGTGGTTTATAAAGCTTCAAATTTATATTCAGAGTGGCTAGAAGGAGGACCAGCTGGAACCAGATATAACTGTTCGAAATCAGGTTGGTTTGATACGTCTTCATTTGAAGATTATTTCAAAACTATAGTGGTTGACTGGGCGAGACAAATTTCCGGGCCAAAAGTAGTCATTGGTGATAATTCGTCTTCCCACATAAATATTGAAGTTGTGGAATTGTGTCAAAAACACAATATAAGGTTGGTATTTTTACCACCAAACTCCACTCACCTAACACAACCGCTGGATGTAGCATACTTTGGCCCACTAAAAAGAGAGTGGAAAAAGATCTTGTTGGATTACAAATGGAAGAATCCTGGACAAACTACCTTGAACAAAAAACACTTTCCAAAACTTTTGGCTCAATTACTAGAAAATATGAAACATAAAGAAAGCCATAACATAATAAGTGGCTTCAGAGCCACAGGAATATGGCCTGTAAATCCACGAAATGTTTTTAAGAGAATCCCAGAGTATTTCGAGGATTCAGAATATGGATTTGATACGACTTTATTGGATTATCTCAAGGAATCAAGGGCTGCTAAGCCAATGCAAGTAAAAAGAAATAAGAAATTACGCACAGAACCCGGAAAGTCGGTATGTGCTGATGATATTTCGAAAGTAAATATTCTACTAACAGTACGAAAAAAATCATCTGTAAGAAAAAATAAGGAAGATACAATAAAGATAAACCAAGAAAGAGAGACAGAAGATATTATGGCATCGTGGGATACAGAAAATGAGATATACTTAGATGAAATTACAGGTGAAGTGATAAGAAGGGAGGAAACGATTAAATACGATATGCCGTCGACCTCAGAAATCATCGCTTGGGCAAAACCAGCACTACGACCCCGATTTTCACCGGTAGTCTATAATCCATCCACACTTGATGCACTTAGTATCAAAATTATCAACATTCATTTAAGTTCACCAGCGCATGATACTAACGCTCAGCTTTCCGATGTCTGTGTATTAAATAAAAAAATGATAAATGACAGCCAGAATAAGCCTTTTGTAGCTTATGCTGAAAATGATATTCCAGATTGTTTACGATCTAATAGTTCATCTAAATCTAAAGTTATAATAACCTCAGATGTTAAAGTAACCCCTAAGCAAATGAAGAACATCAAGAAAAAAATAAAATTAGGTACTGAAGTCATCGGGAAATCAGCTTTACAGATGAAAATTCTTACGAAGAAAGTGGGAAATGAAAGTGGTAATGTGGTCTTATATGAAAAAAATAAAAGAAAACGAGAAAATTCAGCTAATGGAAGAAAAACAAAGGTAGCGAAACGGAAGAAATTGAGATCATATTATTGTGAAACGAGTTCTGAATCGGATATTCTGAGCATTGCAAACACAGATGATTCGGAATATGAGACATTTGATGAATATGTATCAACATGTTTACAAGAGATAGACAACAAGGAAAACTGTGAGCCAGAAAACTTCACTGCACCCTTTGGATTCAATGATATCACCTATTTTACAAGCGATGTAGATTTACGAGAAGAGGATTGGGTAGTTGTAAAATTTGCGACAAAAAAAAGCATTAAGCACTTTGTCGGCCGTGTTTTATATATAAAAAATAGTACTCCTACGGTAAAATTTGCAAGAAAAGTGAAAAATGCAAAAGATGGCAAAGTGATTTTTACGTATCCGAATGTGGAGGACGTGAGTGAAGTGAATCGTGATGATGTGGAAATAGTATTACCTCCACCAAGTATTTCTAGACGAGGCCAAATATTGTTTGATGTTACCTTTAATTCTTCCTACAATATACAATAATAAAATATTTTAATTTATTTATATGAAATTGCCAACACGCAAAGCTTTTCTCGAAATCTTCCAGCAATAAGGTAATTTCACAAAGAATGTTCCTAGGTTGTTTAAGAATAATTTGCCTCAAGAAGTACCTCGATGATTATTGTTGATTTTTTACTAGTTTGTCTTATTAGTCGTTTAATTTTGGATTGTTTATGTTAACTGTTATTGCCATAAAAATATAATGTTGACTTTACTGTATGTAGATTTAGGTTAATATATAGGTCATTTAAAACATAGACACGCACTATAAATTGTGAAACACAGTCCAATCACAGGTATAGTGCAGGTCTTTGTTTTGTATCACTACTTTAGTGTCGCAAAGCTCTTCTCGAAATTTTCCTGCAATAAGGTAATTTCACAAAAATTATTCCTAGGTTGTTTAAGAATAATTAACCTCAAGAAGCACCCCGAAGATTATTGTTGATTTTTACTAGTTTGTTTTATTAGTCGTTTTATTTTGCGTTGTTGATATTAATTGCTACTGCCATAAAAATATAATGTTGACTTTACTATATATAGATTTAAGTTAATATATAAGTCATTGGAAACATAGATCGGCACTATATTTGTGAAACAGTCCAATCACAGGTATAGTACAGGTCTCTGTTTTGTATCACTTCTGTAGTATAACTGTAAGCAGTTGGAAAAGTAAAATTAAGTTATATTTTATTTAATTTTGATAAGGCTAATAAATGTTTAATTCCTATTACTTAGACATGCTAAGAGGTACTGTTAATCTATAGTATTATATTGTTTGTTTTAGAAATATTTCTCTTCAATATAGATTTATATGAGTCAACGTTTATATTAAGAGTTGATATTAAGCTTAATATTACCTATAGGTATTGTTTGTTTTAAAGTTAGTAAGCATTTGCTTTAAAATACTTCTAATTCTATGATTGTTTCAATAGTTTTAGATTAATGTTTAAGAGCAAGTTACGTGATCATAACTTACCTACGTACACCGTACTTTTATCAATAAAAAAGTGACAACCCTAGTTCAACCTTTCATTTGAATGAAAAATTGCAAAAAAATTGTTGCGACTTTGCCCACTCAAATTTTAAAGCTAAAATGAACTTTTGACGTTTAGTATTAAGATCCTATGATAGGTTGATTATTTTACTAAAATGACCCCTAAATCTAACGTTTTTAAAGTATAAAATAACGAAGTTACGGAGGTTTCTGCAAAATGGGCAAACTTGTAAAATGTTCTATATATTTGGCCCGCCGTCCAAATTAAGGTTTTTAGCACATAAACATTAATTGTCTTGATATTATCATAAATTCTATGCAAAGAATAATACAATTATCAATGGTGTAGCGCAATTACAAATTGAAAATAATATTATTTTAAAAAATATTTAAAGTAGAATAAAAAATCGCAAGAAATTTGGGCAAAGTTGTACGGTTTTACGGTACAACAAAAGCTGCCGTTATTTAAAATTTAATTAATATCACAATCTAAATTTGAACTCAATCATACATCATCGTTTATACTCTAAAGCTGTTAATTTATGTTTCGTTTTGATGTGAGCATCTGTGTGAGTCTTTTGGTAGGCCTTGTAGGTACATTCCAAGAATGGACATCTAAACATGGGTTCTTTTCCGCATTCATATGTAACGTGCCGCTTATAAGTACTCTTGTGCCTGTATTTCCTCTTGCATTTTTCGCACTCGAAACTCGTGTCGTACTGCGACCAGTAGTTTTTAGTCTTCATTGGCATGACGGGCAACATATTTTGCATCATCGTCTTAAAGAAATCCACTTCACCTGCAACAATAGAATCAAATTCTCAAAAGTCATTGCAGAATACACTGCTGAAATCAGTTCAACTACCCACCTACATGATTATATTTTTACTGCATCAAATGAAAACGAATCATCAATATAACGTTTGTGAAGATTAAGGGTAATTATCATTTAATAGAAAAACGAGGCCATTATTTCAAGAACATTTATTCACATGCTTAAACCAATAATTAAAAAAATCAAACCAAACACACGTCATTTTGTTGAAATAAAAAGTACAACAAACAGTACGTTAACATTTGTGCCATTTTCACAACAAAGTTGGCATTAACTTTTAAAAGTATGAAACATTAATATTACCCATTTAATTATAAAAAAACATCATTTAATTTGAATTGTATTGTGAATTTTGAAATAAATATGAATTATTTCAGTTTATGTGACAGGGTAATAAACAGATTATATTGGTTCATACACATATTATGCCATAAAAATAGTTTTTTTGCTTAAAACCTTAGGTAACTACTATTGTGTAAAAATGTTAATTTGCTAAGAACTGCATGTCAAAGAAAAAACAAACTGTCTAATCAGGCGTGTCACTTTGTAAAAATCTGAGGTATGGAAAATGGTGGCGCGATTTTCAAATTTGTTCGCATTACTCGTGGGGTATTAAGGTTTAAGAGTTTGCAGTGTATATACTCAACTTATTTATTGAACTATAAGATGTGGGGTATTGAGGTTTAAGGGCTTGCGATTTATTTATATGAGGTTTGTAGTAATATGCGATTTATTTCCTAATTTCAGCTATGGAATTCCATACCTTGAAAAACTTGAGGTATGGAGTGCTCCATACCTTCCATAGTGGAAGTGACACCCCTGTGTCTAATTTAAAAATGTTGTTAATAATAGCAGTCTCAAAATTAGACAATGAGTAAACCAGAATCCGATTTAAGGAAGAATTTTGAATTTCTTTCTATATTACTTAGTTATTAAGTGGCGAAGCTTGCGAAGTCACTTATTGATCTCACGATGTCTGTCCGTCTGTCCCACGATTATCTCGAGAACGGTTTTGAATTTTCAAATTCTGTTCAGCAATCGATTACTGATCACCCAGGCATCTGAACCTCCTATTTTGAAACTGATTGCTCAACGGCAACCGTTAGAAACCGCTACAAAGCAGATTGTTTCGCCACTTTGCTATGCTGTTAGCTTGCTAGGTTTATTACTTAATACTTTTTATTGCACTATTTAACATTGTCATAGCTAATTAAAGATGTATTAAATAAATAAATTAAACACAAAAATCTCGACAAGCCGCATAACATTTCTTGTAAATTATAATGACAAATTGTCATTAAACTGTACAAGTTAAAAATTTACAAGTCAATACCATTAGCTATCCACAAGTCCACTGCTTAACATATAGGCCTTCCCAAGGAACACAATGAGTCACCTGCATCCCCATAGACTTTCTACAAGTGTGCAAGGTAAAATCACACAAATTTGTATCTCATGCCCAAAACTCAAGCAAGCTGCAGTGCATAGATACCTTACATCTGTCTAGTAAGAATCACAAATCATAATTGGCACCCCTGAGATGAATGACTCGTAACTAAAAGGATTCGTTTCTCTACACTCATTATTCGAAACAGCAGCACTATACTTCTATTTCAGGCATAATGCAGCTGCAGCGCGCCTTTTCCATGTTTAATACGATTTCAAATATTTGTTTTGTGTTATTATTAACGCATCCAAAAAAGAAAGTAAAATTAAACACAAAATTATTTCACATTTTAATTGATACCACACGGTGTAAGAGGGGACAGAGGGAAAAAGCAGATGGGCAGCAGCGTCTTCCTAATAACAACAAAAAATGAAAAACTGCGGTTACCAACCCGCTATGAGCGGCAACTATGGAAAATATCCCCCCCCCCCCCCCCCATGAGGAAATCTGTGAGGATGGGCTATGTTCAGCAGTGGGCTTTAATATGATAACGGTAAGACTGTGTTCCTATTTTTTTTTTCTATGTATTACCAATTTACCCCCTAAATATAACTAACCCCTGAAGACGAAAATTCGAATTTTCAACTTTACGTCGTTATTTGATTAACTGTAATAACATCGTGCTAATCATTTTCAATCGCAAAATATTGTGCGAGGAAGTCTGTTAAAAGAGACACCGAATTTATATGTTGCATTTTACAAACTTTGGCGCGCAACACAAATATTAAAATATAAGAAAACCTAAAAACACGCATTGATCATGAGCTGTGATGGTTCTAGAGAGAATTATCTGGTGATCCTGATCAGGATACTAGGATAAAGTTATTTAATTCTTTTATTGGAATCGGACCTTGAAATTGATGCGAATTTTCAAATCAATCAATCGTCTACAAGTTGGTGAAAATTACATTAAAAGATTCCGTTACATAGAGATGCACGCGATGCTAATAAAAGCGTGTTGAAAAGGCTCATGACAGAGAACGTGTAATGGCAATATAATTTCATGTACATTTCTACACATTTTTTGGACACCCAAATAAAATAGTAAAAATCTGAAATCGGGCCTTAACTATTAGATGCAGTTTTTAGCATATTAATTTAAGTTCGAAAATATTGCAAAAATAGTAAAAATATTTACATAGATAAATTTGAAAAAATACTTTTTCAGCTTTTATTACAATATTTTTAAGGCACAAACAGACATTGTATCTCAATGACTTTTAACAACACAGTAAATTTTATCTAAAATTTTTACAATTGGCACATTTCTTTGGTTGGGTAAAGTTTGAAAGTAAGTCGCCTGAATTGGGGTTAGTGAGGTGGTGGGGGAGGGGAGTTGTAGAATCCCCAACCCCCCTTGCCAGACGTCATTAGTTTTTTTATAAATTTTTAAGAATCTCATTTTCAGGTTATGTTTTCGTAATATTTTTGACAATATAAACCTGATTTGTGGGGAGGGGGGGGGCGACAGTTGTGGGAGGGTAGCCCAACGCCACTTAACGTGGCGCAGTCGAGAGAAGCTCGATCGAAGGAACCCCGCATTGGCGGGTCTCCTACTTCTGAGTGGTTTATAGAAAAATAACCACTAAGGGTCTAACCTAATCTGTCGGAATCGGGGTACCCTAAGTCACAAGCTCGCTTCGTTCGCTCTTGTACTCGATAAAACACCAAAATATTAACTTTTATAATTACATTAATTTATAGCTGCCACCATTTATAAAAAAGGATCTTTGCGAAATTAGCGAGGTTTAGCGAAGTCGTCAAAAATATGAGGCAGATAAAAAAGTTAGTAACGACGTAAAGTATATCTGTCACTGTCACAAAATGGCCGGTCTAGCGAACCACTTTACGCTTTTATCATTTTTGAGATGACTGGCAGATTCGACGTCAAAAACGTTAGAAATTCAGTTAAATGTACGTTCCATTTCACGTTTAGTTAGTGATTCATCAATATTTTCAAAAAATAATTAAAAATACTTCAACGCTGCTCCGGCACCAACAATTGCATGGGGTTGCTTCAGACAAACCCCCTTGAAGGGGGGGGGGGGGGGGGGCAGTGGCAGTCCTCAAATTCAGGCGACTTACTTTTAAACCCAACCCCTTTGGTTTAAAAATGCTAAAAATAAGAAGTAGCATTAAAACTTATAAAACCTAAAAACGGTTATCTCTTTGTTAGTTTTTGGTGGGGCTAAAAAACTTAAATTATGCTTACGTTTATAAAGAATTACATTTTTTTCATGCTTGGGTATATCTGTCTAATTCTGTCTTAATACAAAATATAGTTAGTGGATAGTCTCGGATTTAAGCTATGATTTAAGGAGTCTGCCACAAAAGGTCCTCGGAAGTCGCGGCGTCACCTTCGCAGTTTGACATTTGCTGTCAAACTTTACATTTTAGTTTGCATATTTTCCACGGGACTTCCTAATAGAAACTAATAAAAATGAAATAGAATATTAGATAAATAGAAACTAATAATAACCATCTTCCTAATAAAAATGTAAGCGTAGACTTTGACAGCAAATGTCAAATTTCGCGAAGAGTGGCGCTGCGGATAAGGTTCTTTCGTGGCAGACTTCTTCAAACGTGAGACTATTAATAAGCCCACGTTTTCTAATAAGGCCGAATAAATTTTTAAGTTATTTAAATCTTTCATAAGAAAATAATTTTCGCTTTTAATAAATTTGATATTTTTACAATTCTTCCGTTTAAATAGAACTTAAATAAACGGTATATTTTTCATTGGATGGATGATGGAAACTCCATAATAGACACACGAAATAACACAAAATTTCAAAATGGTAACCCGAGCTTAAATCTATAGCAAATATTTTTACAAAACTTAACTATAAATAATAATAATTTAGATACTAAATATCATTTACTTCTTAAGGCACTTATTTCTTAAACGGCTAGAATCGACTGGAAGATTCTTTGGTTTTATATATTGCTTGTTATTTATTTGAACTTTATAGGTAACTTAAATAACAGTAACAAATGCAAAAAATATAGTTCAACAGAAATACTGAACGCTATAATACAAATCTTCAATTAATAAAATTGTAGGTAGTTCTATATAATAACTGATAAATTTCTTTGGTAACAACCAACACACACTTAATAATAGTTAATAACGAAAACAAGAAAATTTAACAATATATTTATAAGTATAAAATTGCAAAACAAAATCGCCTTATATATAAGTTAACAGTTCTAAGACTTTTTCACATACTTAGCATTATTAGTTTCATAAGATCAAAAACATTTTGTCAACCTTACGTATTTTATACCCGCAGAATATTTAAAATCAAAAGATTAATTTTAATATAGCTGCATTTTCGTCATTTGACTTGATCAAGATTTTTTTTTTGATATTTTGTCTATCGACCTTTATAAATAGATACTGTTTTCTTAAACCGAAACTGAAAACTCAAAACAATTAGTATACATCAAAAATGTCTTTCTGTTACAAAAAATAATTACAGCATTTGGCAAGAATCATATTTCCAAAGATAATTTGATTGTATAAAAAGATAGTTTAATTAATTACTGTTACATGGAAGACAGAATTAACTTATTACTGAATTCAATGTTTATATTTATTATTATCATTACCATACTTGGCCGTAAAAATTACTGCATTGAGCGAACGCAAATGAAAACATTCGTAGCGTCACAAAATGACCCAACGCAGATAGCAAATATTAATTTAACGGTTTTAGGGTATTAGATATAAAATGCCTTCTTGTATAGTGGAATGGTGTATGAAACAATCGCAGTTATAATGTTGAAATTAATTTTTACGTGTAATAAACATAAAATGATGTGTCTTACCTAGTATGAAGAGCACCTCCCGCCCTCCCTCAATTGCGTGCACTATCCCCGTCATCACTAATCCCAGCACCGCTACTCCCAACACCACTGGGATTAGAGGTGACGGGGATAGTGCACGCAATTGAGGGAGGGCGGGAGGTGCTCTTCATACTAGGTAAGACACATCATTTTATTTTATAACGCGGATATTTGCGAAGTAAATTTTTCTAAAAGCTTTTATATAATGGATTTCCGCAAAGTAACGCCTGATTCTATTAATTATATAATAATATATAATTTTGCTATATTAATAATAGCTTTCTTCTTTTAGATTTCTACAAGCCACAAGGCCCAAATCGAAGAGAACTAAAGACGAAAGGTCATTTTAGAAATGACGATTTTTATATGTCCAAAAAGTATACAGCTACATAGTTTAAAACAATTTAATAATTAATACCGTCACCGTCATAATACTGATTTGTTTCGTAAAAACGTTTTAAGCAACCTATGTGTTGTATGGTAGTATAAACAAAAAAACATTTAAGAAATATATTTAACTGTGCGTCCCGATTCGTAATAAATAATAATAAACTTTGCTAATCAGCGATGAAGTTCCAATGTTTTACATTTGTTCGCGATTTAGGGTCAAGATGGGCGCTTAGTTCCCCAGAGTAATTCAATGTTTTATTTGCATTCACTGATTGAGCTTTAGAAAATCACAATAAACTAGCTCCGGATAATGTTGTCTCTGTCATTCAGATTCATGTTGTAGCAGCAGAATTGCCAGTCGTTTTGTTTTTTATTGTTACAAGTCATGTGATTTTCGTGCAGTTTGTTGTTGTACAAATACGGGACTGGTCGAAATTCATGCGACGGCAAAGACGCTTTACAAATCTGAAGGTAGCCGTTCCGTTATCTTTTTCTAAAGTTATATCATGTATAATTTTTATGGCCAAGTACTTCTCTTTATCGCCTCTGACCGATATCTTCATTTCTTTTTTGGAAATCTTGAGTTAACTAGAAGAACCTCCATTTTCTTTGTTGTTCTGCAAAAGGGCTGTAAAAGAGATGTAAATAAATATAATTTTATAATATTATAAAAGTATCAATTTCTTATTAAAATGTTTATTGTTACATGTTAATTGGAAATATTTATCGAAAATTATTATATGTCTATATAATTAAGTAACAATAACCTTTTTAAGACACCATTTAACATGCTTTTAATCAGTCAAAGAAATTAGCGCCAAAGTACATAACGACAGAGTTAATGTACTCGTGAGAGCGAATTTAATTTTTCACAGCCAGCAAGAAATTTCTTTTAGGTTAAACTTTTTCTTAATATTTCGTTTAATAATTATTGGTTTATCACAGTATTAGTTTAAAGTTGGTTAGTAAACTCAAATGTACTGACATTAGACACCTCTATTGGCGGCTGGTCATTCCGACACGAAATCCACCTTCTCTGGCAAATCTTTATGTAGATGGCGCTCATGAAGCAGGAGATTGTGCTTCTGGTAAGCCCGGTATACGCAGTAAGGACACTTGAAACTCGGCTGTTTTCTACACTCATACTTCATATGCCGTTGTAAGGAACCTTTGTGCTTGTATTTGTTTCCGCAGTCACCGCATTCATGTAATGTCCACCTGGTCTTACTGCTGCTCAAACCGGGAGTACCATAACCCAATAAATAAGGTGTGTACAACTGTGCAACTGAAATCGAAACGCAAATAAAAATAAATACGTGCAAATATAAAAGCTACCACCACATGTGAAAGCCAAGCCACCATTTTAAGAAAATATTGTGCCGTATAAGCATAGGATGATGCACCATGTCTCCCATTAATTTGCTCATTGACTTACGAAGATTATTAATCTAAATCTAATTTATTTTATCTCATTTTGAAGTGACATGCAACGATGAGTTCGTACTGTTACAAACTTAAATTAGAAATAAATGAAAATCTTGAAGTATTTCTATTTTAAGTTTACAATTTCTATGATAGTTAGGATCATTTGTTACATGCATTGATTTTAACTTATAAAGTACACTATAATATAAGGACTAAAATATTGATGCTGTTATATGTACATTATGATAAGTTATACCCAAAAGGTTAATTCTACTTTAATACCCTTAATACAATAGAACTAGTAGGTAATGAAACAATGTAATATATTTTATTAAAACGAATAAGTATCAAGAATAGCAACTTTATTTAAAATACAAAAAGGTTATAAAAATACAATCAAATGCATTTAATCACTGTAACTTCTTATTGACAATTTCCATTGTATCTACCTACATCACAAATATACTAGGAAGTAATTCTTACGTTTAATGTAAATATAAGTTTGTTCTGCTATTTCACATGGGTTTAAAACTTCTACATAACACCTATTGAGTGAAATTTCTCGATTGGCATAGTTTTTGCAACTAACGGGTACGGTCCACCTTTGGATATGGTTCGACATGTACATGCACACTATCACACTGTGTATGTACAAGTCGAACCACATCCAAAGGTCGACCGCACCTGTTACTTGCAAAAAGTATATCACCTAAGCCATTATCATTATTTCATTTCCTTTAGTAATGTTTTTACATTGTTATTTGAGAATTTACTATCACAGCAACGTAATACTCAGCAAGGTGTAAAACATATATTATTGTCAGACATTTTTATAGTTTATAACTTTGTAAACCTACAGTTTTGCAGTGTTCAACTTGTTCATAAAATGGCTAAAAATCACAACCTAGATATTTTGCAATAACAAGTTACATATCCAAGATTGATTTGTAAAAACTCCTTTCATCTGATATATTTTAAATCCTAATGACTAACTTTTTAAAGGCACTTATTATATTGAATTGACTTGTATGGTTGTACTTTGTGAACTCTAAATATTGATTGTATGATGGTAACTCCAACGGATAGTTAATATTTTGTAGTTAATATGCAGAAATACTCAATGGCAAGTTAAATTTGTTTCCAACAATAAAATGGGCAATTATTAGGAACATTCTCATAAATTATTTTGTGTATTTAAATTAGATAACCGAACAGCTGCTAGTAAACAATTGAGTAATTCTGCCTATTGGACTACACAACACCCTAAATCTTATTATTCCTAAATGGTAATGTATAAAATACTTACAATATCTATGTGGAAGATTATTTTGAATTTTTTCAAACATAACAAATATTTTGTGCACGATTTTCGATAAATATGTAAATGGCAGCGGCTTCAACTTTACTAAACACCACGTTTAATATTCAACAGTTACTTCAATAAGGCACTCATTCCACTACGAGTTTATCTCCTAAATCTAAACATCATAATTGGCCCCTTAAATTAAAGTCTGAAAAACATATAGAATAAACATTCTTCTCCAAAAGGAACTTAATGCTATGAGTTATTCAAAATCTGTCCGCATTACACTGTTACAACAGAGATTTATTGAGTTCCTAATTAAAATAAATGCATTACACGTAAAGAGATCTAAAAATAATAATCGAATAAAAATTAACTTATTTGAGTATTACAAAAACAATGGAACATGCATTATGGCAAAGAACTAGAGCTTGCTAACTAAGCGAAAATAGCTTCATTTCAATTATAACTAGGATATACAAAATAGAAAACACGATTTCGCGCAAAATACTCAATTTTTAATGCGCCGCTAAGGTTAATTATATCGTTAAATATACCTCTTTAATTCTGAATAGATTCCACAACTCTTTAAAATTGTCAAAATCAATTTAGCAAATAGTAACTGCGATTGGTAACAATTGTCGACAAACTAAGCTGAGTCCTTCTCACGTTTAAAAAATATCTATCGAGTCTAAACCTTACGTATTCAAATAACCAGGAATGATAATTTATACAGTAAATGCTGTACATATAAAAATATATAAAGTTAAAAAGAGTAACTATACACAAAATCACTTCCCTTAACATATACTGGATAAATGCAACAGTTGCTTACACCATTGCAAAAAGTGCAATCAGTGTGAATACTAAGAGTAATTCGTCATGAGTTTTAAATTCATATGGTATCTATATACTACCGTCGGTTACGACGGGGGTAGGTAACGACCGAAGGCACGATTTACGTCCTCGAGAGAGGCGATTACATCTAACGTGACCGTCCGATGCCACTATCACAAGAGATTTCCATCACATTTATCACAATCGGAATAGACACGGGATTACGTTACGGTAAGCTGATTCTATTACACGAACAAGATCGGTGCTGATGATTTTTTTACAAATACCCTCGCGCTGGTTACGTGCAGGCGTCCACGTTGTCCTGCTTGATGTACTGATCGGGTTTGAGGTGGACCTCGCGGTGCATTCGCTCCATATGTCGCGCGATGTGCATCTTCTGCTTGGCGCGGTACACGCAGTAGGGGCACTGGAACTGGGGCTCCTTGCCGCACTCCCACTTCTGGTGGTTGCGCAGCGAGGACTTGAGCTTGTAGACGCGGCCGCAGTCGGCGCAGGCGAAGCCGGGCTCGCGGCCGCGCAGCGCCCCCCCCACGGCGGCCGCGGCCCCCCCCACCGCGCCCACCAGCGGCAGCGCCAGCCGCGCCGACCACTGCTCCCACGACAGCCCGCCGATCCGCGAGAACGACACGTCCTCCGCCCCTGAAACCCGCCACACGTCATACCTCTCTCCTCAGCGCCCGCCTCGACCCCGAACCGATACACATATACCATTATATAACGCATACATACATGATAATTACATACACATACATATATCTCGCGCAGATAAACAATGGGATTATAAATGGCGTCGCCTCTATTAACCTCTCGCTTGCACACTGTGTCGGTCTATACTCAAACCCACCGGAAACGATACCAAAAAAAATTTATTCATGTGTTGCAATAAACGTTTTTTGTCTTTTTTGCTTTTTAACTGCCGGCCCAAGTAACAAAACGGAACTTTTCAATATACTTTAAATCTTACTATTAAATGGTTTTATAGTAGTTACATTACTTATTTGTACATTGATTTACGTCCCATCACCCTATTATAATATTACGCTTAATAATTTAATTTTATTTCAAAATTTAATTGATTTATTATATTAATCAGTCAATTTCCAAAATAAAAACAACCTTGTTTTTAATAATATAGTTATTAGAGTTGTTTTCGTTTTTAGTACCGTGTGTGCTGACATTATAACCTCAATGAGCCGCCATTTTCTAATCCCATTATTTATCCGCACGGGTAGTACATAGACGTACATACACTACATACTACTGTGAGTGTGTCCACCGAGTGCTGTGACGAAAGCGCAAGGAAAAAAAGTAAAAAGAAACAAAACAGAGGATTCATAACATTTATTCGGATGTAAAGCGAGGGTCGCGACGTTGTCCTTACGTCTCTAGTGCTCTTGAAAACATAAGTATGTTATAGACATCGTTTCGTATGTCGTGCGGAAAGAAGTAATAGGTACCAAGAAAATTCATGGTGTTTACTGGACGGTACATGTTTTGTCACCGCTTTTGACATTTCAATAAACTTTACTAATAAATGTAGTCTCCCGACCCATGGGCTTTCTTGTCTACCTGAAATTATTAATTATATTAGTATGAACGAAAAAGAGAAAACAAATGTCAATACACAATTTGAAATGAAGAAACGGTGACTTTAAGGTGACATGCACACATGCGTGGTTAACATGAACAAAAATTAATAACCAAAAATTGTAACTTACCTAATTGAACGAAAATAAAATTCAAATAAAAAGGGCATAAGCAATGGATTCAAGACATTGTTTCCAATAAAATGCTCAAAAGAAACACAAAAATATGGTACACTATATTTTATTTTAATCAACTTTTCTACCAAGTAAACCCCAATATATTCATATAAAAATCACACTAATATATTAACTAGTTTCCAATAACATTAACAAACAATGTAAACTTTATAACATCCAAAATGTAAGCTAACTTACATACATCAGTACCTTAGACCGTTAACAATTCATACATATGATGGGAGAATATTATATTAAAACATTTCTTCTATGCTTAGCAATGACTCGAATGTTTCAATAAAAAATACATTTCTTACCACCACTTTAATAAACTAATACTGACTTTGGTCAAATAGCTCTGTTATCCTAGTTCAACAAAAAAAATATCAACAGTCAATATGCTAAATAAAACGTTTCAAACATGTTATTGCGAAAACAATATCGGTTAATATCAATTAACTTCTTTGCAATTTTTGAACACATTTTTCATTTCATCCCAGTACACCGAAATAATAAACCGAGCAACATAATAAATAGTATTTATCTACAGGTAACATTGTAGGCACATTATTTATGAGCTTTTATTTACCTAAGTTATAGATACCTCAAACTTTTCCTTATGGATTAAAAATAATACAAACCCATACCAATATAAAGAAAACTTGAGACATCTATAAGCTCTTACAACGGACTGGGTCCATTTACATTATCCTAATAAATAAACAATTTTTTAAAAATAACAAACTTTGGATTTTCTACGAATAATCTTGGGAAGACGATTTAATGGTCCCTGAAATGGGCAGTTACTATTGAATCAACAATAAATAGAGCATTGGAATAACCGTGACCCTAAAAAAACTGAACAAAATTTTACCCGTGATATGAAAGCATGATTGCATCTAACCGGGACCTTAAAACAAATCTAATAACAACACGAATACACTAAATATTTCTTAATATCATTGCACTAATAAAATTTGGAATTATTCCTCATCAGGAATGTTAGGATTTTAAAACTAAAGAAATTCGAGTTAGTTTATCGGAAATAGAGTTCTATTTCTTGTCGAGGATTCTAATGCGGGTTAGATTTTTGGATGGGGGGAATGTGTAATTAGTGTTTTCACACGAAAACTCGAAGGCGTTTTCTCAAAACAAATATTTAGAGGGTCAGTCTTAACTACGTTAATAAACTCTTCGAACAAAAACAACAAAATTAACGCTAAGCCGTTAGGGAATGTGCACATTACGTCTATTATCTTAAGTGTAAATATTAAAAACGTCTCCAACAAAAATAAAATGTAAATATAAATATTATTATTGCAGTACCGATTTGGTTGGGTATCTACTTTGGTCTAATGGTTACATTTGCCTAAATAAAACTAGATAGAGGTCTTTTTGTTCCGCCTGACTTTATTGCTGGCGTAGATGTACCACTCGTTGTTGTGGTGTTTGCGGATGTGTACGCCCAGGTTGCCACGCTGCTTGGCCTTGTAGGAGCAGTATGGACATTGGTGGGAGGGAGCTTTGCCACCACACTCCACGTTCTCGTGGCGGCGTAAAGTGGACTTCCAACGGTATTTTTTGCCGCAGTGCCGGCACTCGAACTGGCGACTTGCATCGTCCGAACTATTCCCGTCGCGTTTCAAGTAATGGCCTTTCGTGTCCGGTTTGGAGTCGAACGCGTCGTTTGAGTTGGTGTTGCTCGCGTTCGGTGAGAAGTTTGTGCCGGAATCGTAGAAGGCGTCGTTTTCTTCGGGCAGAACGATATCGTCCGTATCGTCGTATTCCGCGTCCGAGTCCTGGTCTTCTTTAGGCTGTACCAGCGAGTTGGTGAGAGTGTTATTGTTTTGCAGAAAGGGTTGCAGCATTGGCATGTGCAGGGCACCAGTGAAGGGCGCCACATCTTTGGTAACCGGTTTGATGATATTGCTCACTTGGATGCAGGGCGGAATGAGAGCCGCCAGCGTCGGCGACTGCTGCACAGACAGGAGCGATAACAGAGCCGACGGTAACTCCTTATGCAGCTCTGAAATATAACACATTAACGGTATTGCAAATAATAAGTTAAGCGGGCACTACATACTGACTCTTGTTAATACTACCAAAGGCTAAAATAAAATTAAGGAACCAAAGAAATGCGTTATAATAATATAAAAAAATAATAATAAAAAAAATCTCTGTTAGAAATCATAAGAGGCAAAAGCTTCTAATTCATGCAGACATGCACAATTCAGTAACGAGACGATCGTATCTATCAAATAACTAATCTTCCCATAAAGAAAGTTACCGGGCTGAGGTTAGGCGACGAAATAAAATAACGGGTACGAACACGAAAAGTCGTTTAATAGTCAAAAATATCGAATATCAATAATCTAACGATACATTAGTATAAAAGTATCCGTAACAATAGCTCGTAGAGGAAGACTGCGAGTGTATATAAGGCACTAGTGGCGCGGGGAGGGGAGTGGAGGGGGTGGTGAGGGGTGGTGTGGGGTGCGCTCACTTGACGGCGAGCGCGGCGTGGTGCGCGGGGTGCTTCTTCTCGATGTGCTTCTTGAGCTCGTTGCGGCGGTGCTTGCTGTAGGCGCAGTGCGGGCACTTGTACTGCGGCTCGCGGCCGCACTCCAGCGTCACGTGGCGCACCAGGTTCTTGCGCGCGTTGTAGCAGCGCTGGCAGTTGGGGCAGCGGTAGCCCTTCTCCGTCTTGTACTGCGCGCACGGCAGCTGGCTGCCGCTGCGCGGGAAGATGTTGTAGCGCGCCTCGCCCCGAGCCCCGCCCCCGCCCCCACCACCTCCGCCCCCTTCCGTCTCCCTCTCCCCCTCGTTCGTCGGTGAGGCGGGGCTCTTCGCTTTAGGCGGCTGCTTCTTATTCTCCTTCGACTCCTCCGGCGGCGTGTTGTGCGACGTCACGTTCTTCAATATCGCCAGGGTAGTCGTGTTGCCGGTATCCTCGCTCACTTTTTTACTACGCGTCATTATACTATGCCGCGGCGTCGACTTACGACCTGAAATTAATAAAAACGATACAGTCGTTTATGTTTTTCGCTCGCGAAACGCAAACGATTCGTAAAATATAACCCAACAAAATTAAGAAGCGTTAAAGAAAAATCCAACTTGTATAACAAAAAAATATATATTTAACTCAAAAAAAGTATAAAATATGAGTAACTAAAATGCAATAAACTCCTAAGCAAATAAACATGATCAACAAAACATAAACAAACAACTTGTTTTCAGATCATTCTGAATGAGATCTTAAAATAATTAAAGCAATATTGTTCAATCTATACTCTGAACAATTTTGATTCTTAAAATATATAATATGAGAGATTATACATTGAATAGGATACATTTTAACCGTGTTTCTTTTTAGTAACCTAACAATTCATGTTTGCAACTGACAACTAGTTCAACATGATTTTATTAGTAACAGTAACGAAAATAACGTGAGAAATAAACAAAATAGAAAAATCAACAGGAAAATATAAAAAAATAAAATTATCAAGCGTTATGAATTTGCACATTGAAGGCCCAATCAGGATGCTTTTGCAATATATGTGAGGTCAGGGTCTTTTTTTGTGAGTACTTTTTGCCGCAATTCTCACAAGTAAACTGTGGACCGGTTACACATTCGTACTTTTCGTGTCTCAACTTGTTCCTTCTGTACTTATATTGCTTCTTCTTGCAAATTGAGCAAACGTATTTCCGGTCTTTATCTGCATTTTGATTTTCATTTAGCCCGCTGCACACACTCATCTCCTTGTTCTTTTTATGTTTCTTCTTACCACACATAGCCTTCTTTTTTAAAATCTTTTTAAGTCTTTTCTGCTCTTTATATTCTGACATTTCGTCTTTGCTCTCGTTAACGACATCTTTTTCGCTCTTTAAATACCCACGGGTTAGTGGAAAGGGGGTTTTGGCGTAATTCGGTTCGCATTTTAGATTAATGAAGGATGGTTCTGCAAGGGCAAAATAATGACAAGCGATAGTGAAATTAATATAAAGCATGGAAATGTTAGTAATAAATACACATTATCACAAGATGATGTAAATACAAAGTGCTTATTATGAGATTGTGTTTCATACAATAATGAGGTGCAAGATTTCAAAATGTAATTATATATAAAATGTTCATATTATGAATAGAAGAGTGAAGGTGATGCAAACTGAATAAAAACTGCGAGCATGCTTTAAGGAACTTTAAGAAAAGCTACGTTTGGCAAAGTTTATTTGTTTAAAAGTACTCAGTTATATTTAAATATATTGTTGATTTGATATCCCTATTTCTATACTTTGTTTTCCTGTTGAATAAATTGTTTTCTACTGCTTCATTACAAAGTAGATATATACATAAATGAAATGCGCATTTTCTGAAGTAAATGCATTCAATGAATTTACATGCCATTTGAAATTTTTGCTTTTCGTTTCCTTGTCTAACCAAACATGCACATTAAAGAAAAACGAATGACGCTAACGCTTTTAAACATGAATTGCTAGGAAATAAAAAAAAACATTTGCAGTGAAATCACATGTGAATGCAAAAATAAAAAGAGATAATAAAATAAATAAGCCACATAACCAGAAACTACAACGATAAATGAAAATGATTTTGGTTTACCTTTACTGGCCGAGTAGTGCAGTAGTCCAAAAGTCTTCTACAAACAAAATCTGATCAGAAATCACACATTTGGCGCGATTAGGAATTCCGTAGCGATAATAAACAATTTTTTTATTAGGCAACTAATGTTTGCCCTAGAACTAGCCTCGTGGATTTGGTGAGATGTGCACGCAAAACAACTATAGCGTCTACTAAAATAAACAATACATGTATACAATTGTAATACATCAAATCTTACTTACCAATAAATACGATATTTCACTCCACCATGTTAAATAGAATGTTAAATAAAAATTAGCCACAATTCGGTTAATATTTGTTATCACCGTGCGCCCGCCAAGGCGATATCTAATGTAGCATGCAATGATCTACGTATTTTTAAACTCCATGTTACAAATAGGAAGCGGGTACACACAAACCCATGTCATTGCAATAATCAAAACTCTGAACTTACCTTAAAAAATTAATGAATACCTCGCCTTAAAAAGGCTACAAATAATCAAAACCTTTCTACCATTACCGTTACCTGTTTGTTCTGAAATATTCATTTATATATAGGTAAAACAAGATATAAATTTGCAATAATATTAGTTAGTTTATAATATTAATATTAGATACTAATTAAGATAAGGTTTGTAGTTCACATGTGAAAACACTAGCACTCTCGTATCCGCTGTCGTGAGATATAATATTTTTATATATAACAGTATAAATACAAATAATTTAAAGCAATGACTGTAGATTTATTTCAAATTATGGGAAGACATTGCGCATTTCATCCGTTCCTTGTATGACGGGAACAATAAACTTTTAAGTTGGAAATAAAAAATAAAACGAAAAATCCTTTAAATTTACTTTTAGTTGTAAAAAGTTGATTGTCCCAGTATCAATCTCGAGTCCCATTGAACATTTTGCGTTGAGACTTGAACTTGGACTTATTAATGGATAACAAAGTGGAAATTGAAAAGCAACGCAAGATGTTTGAATGATTTGCTCGCCATTGCTGGGGACCAGCCGGGCACCAGCAATGGCGTCGCTACAACGCATTCGCGCTTACCTTGCGACTCCCTGATGCTATCGTTTGAGTTCATAATTTCATCTTGAGATCGTTCCATGTGCCATTGGAAATCTGAAAACAAACAAATAACAATGTTATTGCTTCGTGAAATATTAAGAGATCTCTTAATTTAAACAAGGTGTGCACTAGTATGTGTTACATATATACAGATACAGGATCTCTCTCTGTCACGGATGGTTTGCCTATTATATTTATAACCCCGATCAGCAGAGGATACTTCTTGCGATTTAAATGCTTGCCGCTAGTGGAGCTACCTGTTACTTTTGGTTAATCAATTTTCACATTATGCCATCTTTTTTTATGGAATAAGGGTTACAAACAATCCCACAGTCCACCAGAGGGTAAGTAGATGATGTGGCTCATAGATATCTTTATTAATTCTCGATTAAGAATCAATATGTAGATGCGGTATCAACCCTGAGGATTTAAATGCCTCGTAACCATTAAAAAGAGTCTCCAGCTCCCTACCTCACCATACGAAACACAGCAGCATTAAGCTACTATTTTAAGCTGGTATTCTGTGAGCGTGGTCCTTCCCCTGTCGAGCCCACCTATTCGTGCTACAACCATAATATAGCTACAGCATGGCACTACCACTAAAATGCCAGAATTCCGCATGCAGTTTAAATGCCTCGTAACCATTAAAAAGGGTCTCCAGCTCCCTACCTCACCATACGAAACACAACAGCATTAAGCTACTATTTTACACTGGTATTCTGTGAGTGTGGTCCTTCCCCTGTCGAGCCCACCTATTCGTGCTACAACCATAATATAGCTACAGCATGGCACTACCACTAAAATGTCAGAATTCCGCAGCCATATTGATATATTTTCGTTAGTTAATTTTCATATCATTTGCGAAAAGAATGCTACGAAGACTACAATTACAGCACAGCCAGAATACCGCAAAAACCCATGATGGCTCCGTTTTAGGTTCAAATTCAATAATTGATTTTGGCTCAAACTGGATTTCAAACCTGCAAAGGACCACTTGGTCAACTATCACGCTTACAACTAGCCCAACGAGCGAGAACGTTTATTGCTTTAAAAAGAGATTATTGACAGTGAATAATTTTGCATTTTACAAATATTAATAAATCAGCAAATTCAAAATGGGCCAGGTCTATGTACACTACCTCAATAAAATGAGAAAAATCTGAAGAATTCGGGAAAAATACATACATATAATCACGACTCTTTCCCGTAGGGGTAGGCAGAGACCACTTCTTTCCACTTGCTACAATCCTTACATACTTGTTTCGCTTCGTCCACTTTCATTATTCTCTTTATACATGCTCTACAGTTTAGAGTGCTCTTGACCTGGCCTTTTTTCAAGACGTCCCTGATTTGGTCTTGAAATGTCCGCCTAGGTCTACCCCTTCCAGCACTTTCATTCACACTCGCCTTATACACTTTTTTCGTCAATCTTTCTTCATTCATTCTCTCGACATGGCCAAACCATCTCAGCATACCTTTCTCAATTTTTGTCACTATATCTTCTGTCAGACCACAACGTTTCCTTATCTCACTATTTCTTATCCTGTCACTCAGTTTAACTCCTATCATACTTCTTAACGCTCTCAACTGCATTTATTCTGCTTTCGTGTTTCTTCTGCCATATCCAACTTTCACTTCCGTACATGAGTGTCGAACCAACACCCCCTCACGCACAGCCGAACGAGCCTTGTTAGACACCTTCCGACTGCTCATAAATAAGTGCAAAGCACCATTCACCATGTTCCCTGCATTCACTCTTCTTTCGATATCACTCTCACATTTTCCATCTTTTGTAAACTTTGAACCCAGATACACAAACTCTTTCAGCTGTTCAATTTAAACAGTGGTAGAGCCACGCGGCAGCTTTTGGTGTCGCACGGATAGGCCGGCTCGAACCGGGGTGGTACCACGACCTCACAGAAAACCAGCGTGAAGTAGAGGTTTACCTCTACGTCTCGCTTGGTGAGTGCAGGTGGCCGGAGGGCCTTTTTTCTGGAAATGAGGCATTCCATCTTAGTCCTCACGGGTGACAACGCATCTACATTTTGATTTGTAATAGAGGATAGATGTAGATGTCTATGGGCCACAGCAACCACTTACCATCAGGTGGACTGTGTGCTCGTTTGTCACCACTATCCTATAAAAAAAATTTGTTCATCTCCAATCACGATATTGCAGTCTGTCACTGCCTCATCTTTTTCAAACACCATGACTTTCGTCTTCCTTACATTCACCTTCATTCCCTTCCTAACAAAAGCTCCACTCATAGTAGTTAACATCTCCTGCAACTCCTCGACGCAAGTAATACTTGGTCATCAGCATAGAGAAAACATTTGACGAGTAACTTATTCATTAGTCTAACACCTTTTTCGATATTAAACCATTCCGTGTATGCCCCATTTATCCTTACACAAGCACTAGAATCCCTATAAAGTAAAGAGATTGCAATGCTCGTACGAGGATACTGCTCACACCTTTCACGAACAGTGCTGACCACAATTAATTCCTCACCACTCTATCATAGGCCTTTTCTAGGTAAAAATACAGATAATTAATTTAAATAAATCCTGTCGTGGTAAACAACTGATGTTTATCAATTATTTTTATCGAATTTCAACACGGCGTCTCATCGATTTAGTCACTCTGTGCTTTTTTTTCCTAGTTTGGCAACTTCCAATAAATTCTGCCAGCGTCAAGTATTTCATGAGTCACACAGAGTATTGACTAGTTTCCGTTTCCGTAGATGCGTTTACTTAGCTTTATGTTACGAACTTACTTATGTAGTTATTTTCGAATGAATTAACATTATAATAGTTTTACAAAATTATTGCTAATACGAGGGTGGGTCAATAAGTCCGTGACTTTTGGAATAAAACACAGATTTTTTGATAAATAAATCATTTTATTTTTCAACGTAGTCTCCCTTGAGCTCTATACACTATGTCCAACGCTTCTCCAATTTTTTTATCCCTTCCAAAAATATGATTTGTCGAGGTCCTCAAAATAGGCCTTTGTTTGCGAGATGACTTTATCATTGGAGTCAAATCTTTTTCCACCAAGCCATTTCTTCAGGTTTGGGAACAAGAAGTAGTCACTCGGAGCCAAATCTGGAGAATAGGGCAGATGAGGGAGCAATTCATAGCCCAATTCATGGATTTTTGCCATGGCAACTGCACATGTGTGCACCCTTGCATTGTCTTGGTGGAAAAGAACTTTTTACTTGGCCAAATGAGGTCGGTTTTTTTTTCAAATTGTCATTGAATCGGTCCAATAAATTGGCATAATATTCCCCATTGATTGTTCTTCCCTTTTGAAGGTAGTCAATGTGGATTATCCCGCGTGCATCCCAAAAAACAGTCGCCATAACTTTATTGGCTGACAAACCCACCTTGGCCTTCTTTGGCGCCGATTCACCCTTAGAAACCCACTGTTTTGACTGTTGTTTGGTCTCTGGTGTGTTGTGTTGTGATGGATCCATGTTTCGTCCACGGTTACAAAACGGCGCAAAAACTCCTCCATATTGCGATTAAACAACGCCAAACCTTCCTGTAAAGTTGTTACACGATTGCGTTTGTGGTCGACTGTGAGCAAACGCGGCACCCATCTTGCGGAAAGCTTTCTCATGCCCAAGTGATCATTCAAAATTGAAACCACTGAGCCATGCGAGATCCCTACGGCTTCCACAATCTCTTGCACTTTCAATCTTCGGTCGGCCAACACCATATCGTGAATTTTTTTGTTTTGGGTGAAGAGACCTCAACTGGGCGTCCAGGACGTTCGGCATTTTCAGTGTTTGTACGGCCACAACGAAATTCAGTAAACCACTTTTTAACCATTGAAATCGATGGTGCAGAGTCCCCATAGTATTTATCAAGCTTAGCCTTGGTCTCAGTAATGGTTTTTTTTCGCAAAAAATAATGCTTAATAAGCACACGAAATTCACTTTTTTCCATTTTTTCTTCAAATTACTGGGTAGTCTGATAAAGATAGCTGTCAAACACAAACTAACTGACGCAGCAAGTTCAAATTTTGACAGGAGTCAACTGACAGATGCCTGTTGACAGGAGTAGTGTTGCTTTTTCAGTAAAGAGGTCAGAAATTCAAAAAGTCACGGACTTATTGACCCGCCCTCGTATAATAAGTACTATAGTTTAATGTTATTAAGGGATATGAAGTCTAATAAAGTTTGTACAAAAGGAGTGTAAACTAAATTTAACAAATACTTAAGATTTACAGGACGAGGGACGTTATTACGAAGAAAATTGTATAATAAAACAGAGAGGTTAGGGCAGTTAAAAATTTATGATCAATCGTACCTTCGTCTAATCCACACTCACAAATTGAGCTGTCTTTAATCTTAAGTTTTGCCAAAAATACAGGTGAACAAGTGTCCCAATCTAATTCTACATATGACGGATGTACTATGTTTGGAGCCATTTTTAAATTTAAAAAACCATGGTTTGGAGGGGATGTCAGGTTGGAGTTCTGCATAATATTTACCGATAGACTTCTGAGTTCTGAGTTTTTTTTCCAAAGAGAGTTCCAATCTGACACCTGATGGATTTTCGCAAGAGAAATATGGTCATGAGTACATGTTTTATGATGCATGAGGGTACCAGAAGTAGATGCTTGTTTTGATAAGGAATCGACAATTTCGTTGTCACGTATGCCACTATGACTTGGCAGCCAAGCAAGTTTCAAGTTAATACCTTGACAAAAACACCTTAATATATTAAGTATGGATTCATAGAAAATTCGACAAATTTATCTTTGCCTTTGTGCCTCCTTTGTTCAAAAACATTTTCAAATGAAGCGATAAAGCCTTCAAGACTTCAAGATCATTTGAATGAAACGTAGCCAGATAAGAAGGAGAAAAATGTAGACTATTTTCAAGAAAATATTCCTTCTTTTCTGGAAAAGAAGCATAATGATCAACCAAGTGTTTCAAATGAGTGGCTGCTAAGCAAGACGAGGACGGACTTCGAGCTTCATACAATATCTCTGTTATTTGTTCAAACATGTAAACCACACACCATCAGAGAAACATTAATTTT